ACTTGCCTGTTGCTCCTCTGTCCCCAGCTGCTCTATCACCACCAAGGTTGTGCATCTACTGCAGTGGTCAGCCGAAGAGCACATGGCCACTCCCCTGGGAAGGCCACACGCCCTCCACAGAGTCCATGGAGCCACTGGAGGAGTTTGTTTTCCAGGGGCCTAGGGGGCTTAGCACAAAGCCTAGGCGAGACTGATGTGCCTAAAAGGGTTGGCCAAGCAGCTGCAGTGAGATGTTCCACCACATACATTGCCGGGGTTCTTGTCCCAGCATTACAAAGGGTTCCAGCAATCTGGAGAAAGGAGCTGGGCGTAGACTCAATAAGGAGTCCAAAGACGAAAGAGTTTTGAAAGGCACTGGGGGGTCAGAGAGCTTCAGCTAAAGGAGCTAAAGATTCCCCCTTGATTCAGGACCTAGTGCTTTTTATTAACACAAATTGTCCTAAGGCCAGGTGGATATAATATACTTCAAAGGGTAGGGTTTACAGAAGCATTGTCAGATTGGGGAATAGCCTACAGCTGTTCAGGTGTTTGGCCAACAGGAGGCAATAACATGTAGATTAAGATGCCCTGAGCTGTATGGCAGCAAGCAATCCTATTCAGGTTTGGGGGAAATGCCTTTCCAGCCCTTCCAACAGGTAATTACATATGTGGCTCAGCACTTGTTGAGCCCCCCAAGTCTCATCAACCTTTTGATGAAACTCTTGTAATTATGACATGCTGGAATTGGTTCCCGGCAATACATGGTTTGTCAATTAGGGCCTTGACATTATTTTTTATTTATTGTTATTATTTTTACAATATAATAGGTCAGGGCAGTTTTTTCCTAGGCAACTACATTATATTTATATTCTTTATTTTCAGAAGACTTTTTTCTTACTTTATGTACATTTTCTCAATACCTTAGTGTTTTGTTTTTTGTCCATGGGTTATGCATATAGGCATAAAAGTTCTTTGGTTGATTTCTTCCCTCCCACCCCTGCCTTCAGTACTTTAGTGTTTTAGTAATGGCTTCCCCAAAACTTAAGATTGACTTTATAGAAAGACCATTTAAATTTCATAAGAATTCATAAGGCTCTTTCTCATGGAATTATTCAAGCTACTTATTCCTGTGTGGATCTACTGAAATGGAATAGTTTAAATAATTAAGGAGGGAATTGATACTCCATATACCTAAAATTCTAACATTAGTGCATGGATAGTTATTAAAAATCAAAGAAGACTAATTTATAGAGATCATATGAATTAATTTCTATCTTCTTTATATTAAGAAAAAGTTCTTTTTATTTTTGCCTGATGACAAAGGCTGTGGTGGTAGAGAGAGAAAAATGCAGAACAGGATTTTATGAATGTATCTGATCATGATATAAGGCCTGATTTTTCTGCATGACTTGTTTTTAAAAATTGCACAAAAATGCATACAATCATTATTTTAAACTTTTATAGAATTCAGAAGCATGCAAAGAAGTCAAAGTTAACTTTCAACCCTTGCCTTACTAAAAGATATTTTAAAAAAAACAACATTTATAGCCCTGACCGGTCTGGCTCAGTGGATAGTGTCGGCCTGCAGACTGAAGGGTCCCAGGTTCTATTCCAGTCAAGGGCATGTACCTTGGTTGTGGGCACATCCCCAGTTGGTGTGTGTGTGTGTGTGTGTGTGTGTGCGCGCGCAGGAGGCAGCTGATGGATGTTTCTAACTCTCTATCCTTCTCCCTTCCTCTCTGTAAAAAAAAAAAAAAAAAAAAAATCAATAAAATGTAAATTAAAAAACCCCCCAAAACAATTATAATTTATAGCCCTAGCTGGTTTGGCTCAGTTGATAGAGCATGAGCCTGTGGACAGAAGAGTCCCTAATTCAATTCCGGTCAAGGGCATGTACCGGTCAGGACTCGTGCAGGAGGCGGCCAATTGATTTGTTTCTCTCACATCGATATTTCTCTGTCTTTCCCTGAGCTCCGGGAGAACCTCTGAATTCGGAGCCCAAGGGTTGGAAGTGCAGACGTCCTTCTGGTGAGCAGGAAGGCCCCACACCAGAGAAAGCTGGCCAGGCAGGAGACAGGCCTGCAGGGAGGCCTCGTTTTGGGGTGGGAGTGGCTTTCAGGTCGCATTCCTCCGCCACCAGGGGGCGATCAAGCCCGCTCCTGTAAGCGGGAGGGTCGGGGCGCTGAGGCAGGTCCCGCCCGCCCCCAAGCCCGCCGGGCAGCTGGAGGCCCTCGGGCTTTCCCAGATCTCTCCCCAACCCGATCTTGGGTCTCAGCCACGTGGAATTTCATAAGGTGCACCTCCTCCCTCCTCCTGGGAGCCCGCCTATTAGCGGGGCCATCACTGCAGGCCCCTCCAACATCCAGTCCTCTGCTGGGGTTATCTCATTCAGTCTTGAGCACCACCGCCTAAGGAGTACTGCCATCATACCCATGTCACAGAGGGTAGGTTGGGGTACAGCGGTTGGTAACTTGCCCAAAAACCAGGAATGGTGACCCAAGATACACACCTGGCCTATCCTCCCAACTGGAGCGTTAACCAAACCACGTCTTCTTCTCGACTCTTCTCCTCCTCCAGAACTTTCTTCCCATGGCAGCCAGAGAGGCTGTGGGGCCCTAAGGGGAATGCCATCCCCTGACAACCTGTCTCTGCCTGCACTCAGGATCAAGTTCAGTGCCCTCTCCCCACTTCTCAACGCGACACACCAACTCCCCTTCAGCTGGAAGAAAACGGTTCATTCTGGGCATTTGCTGCTTCATCAGGACCACTCGCCCCCGTCCCCTCCGCCTCTTAGTTAATCTGTGGTGTTCAGGCCCCGGCCTCTGGTCACCCCCCCGGGAACCTGACTCCCTGACTCCCAGACATGCTCAGGCCCCGTAGGAAATGCTGTTTAACCAGTCGTTATGAGCCTCTTGGGTAGCACTGGCCTCAGCCATGTAACTGTCATGGCACCATTACTTCAAAAACTCAAACCACCCTTGATTCCTCATGCTCTAGAGCTCTCTCTAAAACAGCTGATCTTGTGATAGCTACCTTCCATATGTTACCTCAAGTCTGACCCCTTCTCATCTCCTTCCCCGCTAGCTCCGCCTGGCCATGCTTCCTCCCGGTCATGTCCACCTCGGCAGCAGCTGTCGTCGTTTGGGTCCGTCTCCCTGACCAGAAGGAAAGCTCCACAGGCAAGGGCTTTGTTCACTACAGAATCCCCAGCGTCTAAGCCTGTCTCTCCCACTAGAATGCCAGCTCCTGGGGGCAGGAACTGCCTGTTCTGTTTACATATACCCCATGCCCAGCACACAGCAAGTGCTCAATAAAAACCCATCGATGTACAGGGGGAGAAAGCAGCTTGTCCAAGGTCCTCCCCTGAGGCAGCATAGCCAGCGCCAGAACCCAGCTCTCCTCCGGCCTGTCAGGCAAGCAGTCCCTTCTTTCCGTCCCGGAACACACAAGAGCCCAGGCCCTTTTGTTCAATGATCAACAGTTTATTACTCCACTTTCACCATCACACAGACTATTTCAAAGAGCTGGAACAAGTTGGGGGTGGGAGGTGGGGGAGGGATGGGTGCCCCTCAGGAGCCAGGACCCCCGGTTGGCTTCCTCGGACCAGGGCAGGGAGGGAGCATCAGGCTGTTCGATCTCTGGGCACCAGCTCTCCACGTGCACACGCACAGCAAGCCAGCAGCTCCTCACACATAAATACAGACACGCTTAACAAAAATAGTATATCATCTGCACAAGGAATAAAAACTAGTCTCGAATATGTACAGCAAAGAGCCTGGGGGGTTGGGGGGGCGGGGCTGCTAGGCCAGGATCCCCAGGGAGGAGACAGACTATGGGTAGAGCAGAGGAGAGAGGGAGGCCTGAAGGGCTCCTGGCCAGGCCACTCTGACCCGGCAGCCCGGCTGCCTAGGCCGAATGGGGGTGGAGCACAAATCTGGCCAGGCAGGACTGGCCCCTCCAGGCAGCCATACTCCCACCCTGCACACCAGGCTCTCCTCCTGCCCTGCCTGCCTGAGGTAGGGAAGACCCTAGGGCTTCCAAAGCTACTGCCCGGAGCTCCCCTTCACCTCTGGACCGAGGCCCCTGAACCCCGTGGGCAGCAATCCAAAGCAAAGGTGCCACAAGGATGATCTCCTTGCGGGAAGTGAGGCAGCGGAGGCCATACACAGCTCTGGGGCACCTGTCTTGGGCGCAGTTGGTCCCTCAGTCACGGTCATGGGAGCCAGGGGAGAGGAAGGGGAGGGGAAGGGGAGGGGAAGGGAAGGGAAGCTGGGGTAGTGCTGAACTGCAAGGGACACCCAGGCTTTGGGGACGGGGTGCTTCCTGCAGCTACAGCCCCTCCTCCTGGGTTAGGCTGGCCTCTAGCCAGACACCTCCAGAGGACATTGGGGCTGGGTGGGAGGGGGAGACTTTGGTCAGGCCAGAGTTGGGGGAGGGGGGGGTCCTGGTCCTTGTTTCTTTATCCCAAGCAGCCTGAATCCCTAATTAGTCAGAACTGGCCCCTAAGTGGCCACTGGAGGGTAGGAATGAACAAAAGGGGAGCCCAGGTCCTAGAGGGTGGGGTGGGGGATAAGAAATGATCAATTCTGAGGCCACAAACATGAAAACGAAGGCAATCTAGTCTTTCTAGGAAAAGGGGTCAGAAAACTTCCTAGCTTCCTGGCAGGAAAGCATTCTAGGGGAGGCCAAGGGATAAGGAGGTCCACCAATCAGGTTGGGCCCTTCCAGCCGTCAGCCATGAGCTCCCACACGCCTGCCGGCTTCCATGGAGCAGATGGTGGGGACACTTTGTGGGTGTTGAGGCCAGGAGAACTGAGGTGTGGGGGAAGGCAGCTCTCACAGAAGCATGGTAAATTCTAGAAAACTAACTGTGGGGGACCGGATCTAGGCCCAACCCTGTGATGTGTAGGTGGCCACGGGCTGAATGTAGTGGTTCTCCTGGTGGCAATGTGGCTGAAAGGAGGGATGTGGTGGGGGAGGGACGGGTGTGGGGGGAGGGTGAGTGGGTGGTCAGTGTCTGGTCATTTCCGACTGAAGAGAGAGCCCAGCAGAACCACGCCAGCCACAGTCATGCCCGTCAGGAACCAGCGGTTGAAGCGTTCCTGGCCCTTCCGGCTCTCGGCGGCTGCATTGTTCCCGTAGAGTTCCACAAAAGTGTCCTGCAGGGAGAGAGAAGAGAAGGAAAGGTGCTATTTGAATCCTTAAACAGTAATGTGAGTGGGTAGGAGAAGGGGGCCTTCATTTGAAAAATTGCTGTCATCCTTGCCCGCTCTGGGCCTGATAAAGGGTTAAGAACTGCCCTCCTTCTTGACCTCCAGTTGGAAATGACCAACCCATTTTATGGCTGAGAAAGCGGGTGTGAAGGAGGAAAAGAGCTTTGCTCCAGGTCAGACAGCTAGGAAACGGTACTCTGGAACCTGAGGTGGGGAAGAGATGGGCAGGGGCAGGAAATGACTGGAGGCCATCGCTGGAGCAGATGCGGAAGGAAGGGAAAGGAGAGATGAGGGTGCAGGATGAGCGAGAGCTGGACCGCGTGTGATCTGGAAGCCCCTGGGAAGCTGGAGTAGTCTGAGTGAGGGCAGGGTGATGGAGGGAGGGAGGGAGAGAAGAGGGAAGTGATTCCTGGCAGAGGATGTCTGGGCTTTACCAGAGGCTCCCTCTTCCTCTGCCCAGGGGGGCAGAGCAGGGCAGCGCCGAGACCACCACACAGGCCGGGAGACTAGGAGCTCCCGCGCCCCCCGCCCAGCGGTCAGGACTGCCTCCAGGAGGAGGTGAGTGACAACTCCGGCCCTGGAGCTGGTCAGGAGGGAAGCACATGCTATGGGAGGGAGGGGCTTTGGGTTGAATTACCCAGCCTACGGCCTGTGAGGCAGGGAAGGGCATCTAGAGTACCCTTTAATGAGAAGCTCCCCACCCCATTTGTCCTTCGTGGGAACAAAAAGGCAGGCGGTCCCTCCCCGTTCACAGACCAGGGAGTTGGCCTCTGAGGGCTGAGGGACTCCATCAGGTCACCCAGCTGTGTCAGTGGTGGGACCAAAACCCACGCCTAGTGTCTGGCACCTAGAAGTCAATGCACTGAGTGGGGCTAGGGAGGGGATGAAATGAACTGCTGGCTGGTTCCAGAGCCAGTGTTCTTGCCTCCACCAAGAGCTCACCCCTTAGGCCACATTTCCACCTGGTCCCACTGACTGAGTGGTGTCTGCGCCTCAGACAGGGCCTGCATCTCCAGGTGGCCCCAGGTCCCAGCCAGCCAGTGTGCTCTCTGATGCTAACTGGCCCCACTGCTGGTCTTGATAACTCCCCCCAGTCCATGTTCCACGCAAAGATTTTTTTAACATATATTTTTTATTGACTTTTTAAAGAGAGACAGAGAGAGGGATAGAGAGAAACATCAATGAGAGAGAAACATCGATCAGCCGCCTCCTGCACACCACATGAGCCTGCAACCAAGGCACAAGTCCCCGACCGGAATCGAACCTGGGACACCTCAGTCCGAAGGCCGAGGCTCTACCCACTGAGCCAAACCGGTTTCGGCGACGCAAAGATTTTAAAAAACAGGTCAATAGTACGCCTGTGCTTCCAGTCCTCCAACAGCTGCTCTCTGCACCAGAAAGCCACGGTCATGTCTGTTCCTATCCCTGACATCCTAGCAAGTGCCATGTGCACTGAGCTGCCAACTGGACTGGAAGAGTCCTCAACGTTTATTCCGTCATTAGGAAGGCAGCGATGACACATAAGCCACAGCTCTTCCCAGAAAGCTTACCCTTCTGCTGGGAAAAGCCCCTTTCAGACCACATCACTACAAGCTCTTAACCTTTCCAAGACTTCAAACTGTACCTGGAATTAAGTCCTTATCACAGCCAGCGAGGTTCAGCGGGCTCCTCCCCACTGCACACTCCACACTCCACGCACGGCTCCTGGCTGCCTGGGGCGCTTGGCCCCAGGGCATCGCCTGCCTCACTTCCTCCCGGCACTCCCGCCTCTGCTCAAATGTCACTCCTCAGAGGCCGTCCCTGGTGTCCCTCAGAGGCCCACACGGTGTCCCCCCATCTCTCCCATCTATCGCCTTGCCTTGCTTTCTCTTTCTTCTCGGCACTTTTCAAAACCAGATTCTACACGTTGCTTTTCTCTCCTGCGCTAGATGTGGCTGGATGAGGCAGAGATTCTGTCTTGTTTCTATACCCCCAGAGCACTACCTCGCACACAGCTGGTAGTCGGTAACTACTTGAGAAGAACAAAAATACTGCATGTCCACTAAGTGCCAGGCGCTATTGTCTCATTGCACCTTCATCGTAATTCCCAGACTGGCGATTTGAAACTTATTTCACAGATGAGACAACTGAGGTTTACAATAGGGAAGGCCTTGCTAAAGGGTGGCAAAGCCAGGATCAGAACTCAGGACTGCCCAGCTCCAGAGGGCAGGCATTCGGGGACCTGTCCTGTCACCGGTGCTGGCTGGATTCCTATGAAAGGCTGTGGGGTGGGGGGTGAAGGTACCTTGGGCCTGGAGAGAAGGACCAGCGGCGGCGGCAGCCAGCCTCTAACTCTGGGCCTTGTTGCTGCCAGGCACGGCTGGTGTGGATAGGCTTCCCTGTCTCTGACTCTTCATCCTGGCTAGCCTCCATTTATATATATATATATATATATATATATATATATATATATATATATTTAATATATTTTATTGATTTTTTTACAGAGAGGAAGGGGGAGAGACAGAGAGCTAGAAACGTCGATGAGAGAGAAACATCAACCAGCTGCCTCCTGCACACCCCCTACTAGGGATGTGCCTGCAACCGATATACATGCCCTTGACCGGAATCGAACCCGGGACCTTTCAGTCCGCAGGCCGACGCTCTATCCACTGAGCCAAACCGGTTTCGGCGAGCCTCCCTTTTTGTTGGCAAAAAAAAATTCTTACAGGAGCTTTAATTTTTCTGATCCGAAGCAAATAGGCCCAGGTGAATTCACAAAAAAAGACAGACCTGTGATGGGGCAGTCCTGGGCGGGGGCGGAGGGGGCACGGGAGAAGGGAGGCCGGGCCAGGCCATGGCTATCCCAAGGGACCAAATGTCCCATAAGCCCAGGATTGGGGTTGTAGCCAAAGTGGGAGAGGCCTGGCTCCCGCAGGGGGAACTTTCCCGAGCAGAGGGCTGGCAGCCACGGGACGTTTTCGGCTCTGGCCTGGCCTGGAGTAAACAGGCTCTGTCCCTGCAGAGGCACAAAGCACTCACTGTCCAGGAACAGCCATTCCAGGGCAGAGGGAACATTCTCATCGCGGTGCCATCGAGAACAAGGCTCCGACCTGCCCAGCCCCCACGGGGGAGCGCATTCCTGGCCAGAACAACACTTCATCTCCACTTCAAGGAGCTCCTTCTCTTGGGGAGGAGGGAGCAGGATTTCCAAGGCTGTGGATTCTGCGAATTGCTTTTGTAGACAGAGCACCAGCAGAATGGGGCGTGCTGTTCCAGGGCGGGTGCCGGGAGGCAGCGGTGTGGGTATATTTAGCCCATGGTTCACACGACACACTTGGAAACAAACACAGCCATTTTCGCAGCGGGCGGCTGCTCTGGATAAATAAACAGGATTGCAAAGCAGCCCCGTCTGGAAAAGCAGAGATAAGCCCCCACTGCTCCTCCATGGCTCCCGCTGGTTTTAGCCAGAGCTGGCAAGGTGGGCAGAGAGGGGAGAGGAAAGGGTGAGTTGCAGGGAGGTCTCTGATGTCACAGAGGCTTTAGGAGACCCAGGCCTGAGAGACGGTCTGCGTCCTCAGCGTGGGTTACAGTGAATGGAGGAAGCGTCTCTTTGCAGCTGTGACGGCTACCACAGGAATCCACGTGGGAGTTTTCAGGGCCACTGGGGAGAGGCAGTGGCTAATAACCCCCAAGGGAGAATCATGGGCGACTAGCCAGGCAGACCCCACAAGTCAGTAAGGCCGACACACCTGCCCATTCTAGTGTCACACAGCCAGTTTGTGGTAGAACTTGGGAAAAAAAAAAATGGGGGTCCCCCAACTTGGCATTGGGGCCCTTCAGAATGTTGAGACAAGAACCAGGGTCCACAGAAGTCAAGGGTGGGCTCACTTTCAAGGCCCCGACTCCCCCACACTCCAGAGTGCTTCCTGCCCCTGGGCCTTTGCCAACACAGTGTCCCTCTAACTGGTCACCCTTCTTGCACTTCTCTTCCTCAGTTAGCCAACCCCACGCTGGAGTCCTGTCTTCCTAGAATCCTTCCCTACTGTCTCTTCTCCAACTCCGGGCAAATGTCTTTTTTGTGCTTCCAGGGTTTATGCACTTTCACTCACACCATAAATATTTACCAAACACCTTCCATGCCCCAAGCTCAGCTCTGGAAGACAGAGAGTGAGCAATGCAAACAAGGGTCTGCTTTCCTGCGGCTTGTGCTGTGGTCTGTGCACGCTCAACTGGGGTGATATCAACCCCAATGGAGCAAAATGAAAAAATTCCTGGATATTAGAGTGGTTTGTGGCTCTCTTCAGTACAACAGCACATACCTATAGAGATACACAGTACAGCAGTGGTATTCAAATGTAATGGGAGGGCAATTAGGACAAAAATGTCTAAAAAGACTCCTTGGGGGGTGGTAATAGCGAGAAAAAAAAATTTGAAAAACACCATCATAGTAGGAAGCAGAGAAGATAAGGAACAAGACAATTTTAGAGGTGACTGGGTTTTGAACACAGTAAGTTATGGGGCGGTGACAATGCCTGGGGGACTGATATAGGTGGTGGAATGCTCAGAGATCTTTCTGAAGAAGTGAGGTTTGAGCCTAGATCTGAATGAGAAGGTGGAGGTGGCCAAGGATCAATAATCTCAGGTAAAAAGAGCATGTTCCAGCAGAAGCAGGTGCAAAGGCCCTGAGGCAGGAAGGACAGGCAGGGCAGCCCTAAGCCCTCTCTCTGTGTGTCCCAACTCTCCCATCAGTCACGGTGCTTCCATGTAGCGGGAATCAAGTCCGATCCATGTCTGAAGCCAGGGGCCTATCCAGACCATCATGACTAACGTTGGCCAGATCTCTGCCCAGAAGCAGCCAACTGAATAACGCAATCCACCTGCAACCCCGGAGAAGCCAGGAAAAGGGCTGGCACAAGGAAGTACCTACCCTATCAGGACAACAATACAGTCCCTGCTTGAACCTG